CTACTCAAGAGTTTGGTTGTGTCAAAGCGAGCAGTTCGTTTGTTGGGTGTGTTGTTGAGTCACGTTTCTCTACTAAGCCTCTTGTGTCAAAATCTGATGAAGTTAAAGTTCAACCAATTAAGGATAAAGAATCTAGAAAAATAACTGATATATTTTTGACTAATGAACAAAATGAACAATTACAAAATTTGTTGAATTGTTATGAAGATATATTTTCTATTCCAGAAGCAGAAATTGGTGAATTTCCTAACCTTGAAATGGAAATTAATTTATCAGAGCATAAACCCTTCAGATGCAAACCATATAGAGTCACAGAACCAGACAGAATATTTATGAGAGAACAAGTAGATAAGTGGATTGCAAATAAAGTTTGTCGTTATTCAAATTCACCCTATGGAGCACCTGCATTTGTAATAGAACAACCGTTTCATGTGTCAACACCTAAACGTGTAGTTATCGATTATTCAAGAACCATTAATCCAGTTACTATCAAGGATCCATTTCCTATAGACCAAATGGATGAGATGATAAAAAAGTTAGCTGGAAAAAAGTACATATCTATTGTTGATATTAAGCAAGCGTTTAACAATATTAAAATTAATGAAAAAGATGTATATAAAACAGCTGCAGTAACACCAGATCATCATATAGAATTTACCCGTGTAATATTTGGTCTTGCTAATGCACCTGCTATACTTGCTCGAGCAATATCAGAAGCATATGGTCATTTGCAAACAATTGGACTAGCCAAATATTATGATGATATTGGAGGTGGGCATGAATTGTTCGAAGATCATTTAGATTTTCTTCACAAACTTTTTGAAGCAACACGTAAGCATAAACTAAAATTTACTAGGCAAAAATGTAATTTTGCTGTTCAGAAAGTCAAATTGCTTGGAAGAATTTTGGATGAAGATGGTGATCATCCAGACCCTAATAGAATCAAATCAATACAAAGATATGAAACTCTAGATACTATCCATGAAGTTAGAAGCTTTCTTGGACTTGCTAATACTCTACTTCGTTACATTAAAAATTTTGCTGTTATATCAAAACCTCTATCAAACGTCTTAAAGAAGAGCTGTATAGATTTAAAAAAATCTAAAAACCAACCGGTTATTTTGAACCAGGAGCAACAAGAAGTCTTTGTTAAATTGAAAGTAATATTAACTTCACCACCATTACTTGCTTATTTTAAACAAGATGCACTTACTACAGTAGAAACGGATGCAAGTTATGAAGGGATAGGAGCTTGCCTTTCTCAAATTCATGATGGTGAGACGCGCATCATCGAATATGCTAGCCGTACACTCAAAGATGCTGAGAAAAAGTACCATAGCAATGAGCTTGAAGTAACTGCAGTTCATTGGGCAATAACTGATAAGTTTAGACTTTACCTTACTGGGAAAAAATTTAAACTCTTAACAGACAGTTACTCAACTGCATTTATTGTAAGTAAAGCTAAATTAAACTGTAAATTTGCCAGATATGTAGTTGATTTATCATCATTTGATTTTGAGCCTATATACAGATCAGGCAAACTTAACCATATTGCAGATCACTTATCTAGGTATCCTCAGCCAGACATAAATGAGAATCACTTATGTTTAGCAGTCATCCCAATGCAGAATAACAAATTGGAATTGGCGCAGAAGTCTGATGCTTATTGTCAACAAATTGCCAAGAAATTGGAAAGTAATATTGATACATTACATATTCAACAAATAAAACTTTCTTATAAATATGACAATGGTATTTTAGTCCATGTAAATAATGAATATGGACATGAAACTATTAAGATAGTAATTCCATTTTCATGCCGCAGTATAGTTCTTAAAAGCTGTCATGACAATGCTGGTCATTTTGATGCAAAGAAAACTTTAGAAAAATTAAAATCAAGATTTTGGTGGAGTTCTATGCGCAAGGACACAAAGTTGTACGTCAAAGGTTGTATTGTTTGCCAAAAAGTTAATAGAAGAACAACCTTAGCATACGGTTTGTTAGGTGAACGAAGCTTTCCTCAAGTTCCATTTCAAGTTGTATCATCTGATCATCTATCATTACCACCAACTAAATCCGGTAATTTCTATATTCTAGCACACATATGCCATGCTACACGATTTCTTGTAGCTACACCAACTTGTACAACAGCAACAGATGACATTATTAATACAGTGGAAAAAGACATCATCAATCAATATGGACCGCCTCTTACATATATTAGTGATAATGGTTCCTCTTTCACCAGTACTAAATTTCATCAATTTCTAGAAAAATATGGAATTGAACATTTGTTAAGCCCACCATATAACCCTCAATCAAATGGGTTAATTGAACGTTCTAATGCAACAATAATAGCTGTACTTTCTAAATACACATTAGAATATCCAAATGACTGGGATGAAAAATTACCAAATTTAATTTTAGCAATTAACACTATCCAACAGAGTTCATCAAAATACTTACCATTTTATTTACTACATGGTTATGAACCTAGAATTATTTCTGCTGAATTAAATTTGGGCACTATATTATCTGAGATCACCAGAGAACTTCAGTTAGATGAATTTATGGACACAAGAAAGGAAGCTGCTGAAAACATTAAAAAGAAGCATGATGAAAATAAAAAACGTTATGATAAAAATAGGTTGAATCAAACATTTCAAATATGGGACTTAGTTTGGTACAATTGGCCCTTAGCCTCAGATTCCAAGCTATCACCAAGATACAAAGGTCCATTTGTAATTGAAAATGCAGTAGGTAAAATATGTTATAAAATAAAAAAATTTGATCAATCAAATTCAAAGAAGAAAGACACTAGAGTGGTACATGTACAGTCACTCAAACCATTTTTAAGCAGACCAAATCTTGATGATCCTGGAAATATTTCATTTGAAGAAACCACCGAAGCAGAAGATGAATCGAACATTGAAATCAGTACAAACCCAGAAAATGAAGATCCAATCGAAGACAAAGTTCCTAAAACTTCTAGTCATGGTCGGATAATCAAAAAATCCAAATGGCTTGGTGATTATATCACTGAATAAAAAATCCTAAACTATAAACATTGTTCCTAATATTTTGTTTTGTATTAATTATTTTTTTTTATTGATTTAAGTTGCAACAGATTTCTATATATAATTTTTTAGGGCCGAAAAGTATAATATAATATATAAAATTGTTTTTTAAAAAAATTATATATAATGTAAATCTTATTATTATAAAATTTGAATTATTACTTGTTTAAAAAAAATTTAATTATTAATTGTTAAAATATCATTTTTTTTTTTTGGGCCGACTGTAAGGTTATAATATGCGATAATAATATTATTATATAATATGTACTGAGCGTTGTCAACTGTCGTCAGTTGGCAATCACAGTTCGAGTCGTGAAGGTCTTACTCATTATATTATATCTTAATAAATACCAAGTAGAAGTTCAAAGGTGTATTCGTTAATT